CATATATGGTTCATAGTTATAATTTAGGTCCCTGGCCTTCATAATGACATTTATCAAATTCATAACTTGGTAACTTGAGTCCCCACCTCTTGAAAGATCAGTTATAAATTGCATCTCAAAGTTTTTGGTTTCATTTTAGTATCGATGATTTGTTTGTGTATCCTGAGAGTAGTGAGCCAGATGGTAAGGGTCTGTGGTTTGCACCTCTTCTGGGGGACCAGGTTACCACTTGGCCCAGTAAAGGTAGAATCCATAGTTGCAGGTAATATACAAAGTGGGTGCTGTTCACAGGTGATCATTGCTTGTTCATGGGTTTCATGATTCTTACCTTCTTACTCCATCCAAGAACAACAACAGTGGCAACATAAGTGAACACCAGCTCAGAGAAACAGAACAAGCACCAGACTTGGTATTTGAAGACATAAGTTCTATATCTAATTCTAATACAAGTTATGGGATTTAGGGATAGCCAACATATCATTCTGGGCTTGTGTTCCTTACCCATCAGAAGGAGGAAGATTAGACTCTAGATTCATTGCTGGCCCTTCCAATTCTGAGAGCCTATAATTCTTTAAGCCAGAAACACATCTCAGCATCACAGTGACAGCTTTCCAAAATAGTATACCAACAATCTAAGACCAGATATCTACATCACAATGAACACTGATTTATAGGGTACTCGACAGACTTTCTACTAAGAAAATTTTATCCAGGGCCTCTTTTTTTGTACTTTCCCTAAATCAACAGAAAAACACTTCTCAGTTTTCTCAGGTATACATTCCTTCAAATAGAAAGAGTTCAAAAAAATTCCAACTAAGTTAGTGTAGCATTTTTCTAATCAAAATTCCTTTAAAAAGTTCTTACTTTTTCTTACTTTCTTTACTTACTTACTTACTTTCTTACTTACTTTTTCTTACTCCCCACAAAAAGTGAATATGCTTTAGGAAAAGAGAATATTTCTCACAATAGACTAAGAGATCATGAACATCTGGAATAAAAAGTTCCCAATCTGAGGAGTTTTATGTTATTGAAAGGTTCTTATTTCACAGAAATGTTTCGCCATTAGACTACGTTCCATCATTAGAGATCAATTACCTTGATTTATTATTTAAGGAAAATTCAAAGTAGGCCTCACATATAAGCTACTGTAACACCTTAGGATAATAATAAATTTATCTAGCCCTTTAAAAATGACAACTTTAACACATATTATCACACTGAAATTTCACAATTCCATGAGGAAATTAGAAGACCCTTTATCTCAAATTTATAGATAAAAAAATCAAGACACAGAGATTAAATGGCCTGTTCAGGGTCATCTAGGTGTTACGTTGGTAGAAGCAGAACTAGAACCAATCCCTGACATAAACCCAGTCCTGTTTATCCAATATTTTTCTGTAGAACTGAATGCATAAATGGGGCACAGGGAGTAATATGAAGATAAGCCATGGGAACACAGACCTGAATTTGAATTCTGATTTTGCTATCTGCTTGCAGTATGATGTGAGGTAATTACTTAAATGCTTTGAGCACTCTTGTTATTTATAAAAATCAAGAATAATAATATAAGCAAGGGCAATAATATATATTAAAGGACTTTGTGTTAAAGAGTGCACAGTAGTGATCTTTTTGTTTTTACTACTCTATGTATTTTAAATTTTAAATTTTACAAGTAGGTTGCATATGACAGAAAAGGAATATAAAGACAACTTAACTGTAGAAACCACTCTCTTTTAGAAGTCTTATTTTTCAAGCTGTGATGGTTGCTTCATTTTATTCTATGTCACATTCTTCTGCAAATCTGCATGGGCTGTCCTCTACCATGAACACCCTGAGGCCTTGACCTTGATCAGCGCCTACACATTTTTTTCAAACTCCAACTGAAGAGTTATTTCCTCTTTAGAACTTTGATCCCACAGGCTTTTCCTTGGGCATTCATTTAAAACTCAAGTTCATTTACCAGTATTTACTGAGAAACTCCCATAGTGCTAGGGAATTCTAGGGGTGCACCAGAGCACTCCCTAGAACCGATCTAATTTTGTTTGTTGCTGTTACTAGTTGCCACCCTTTGACATTTTACAGACTTTTTACTTTTAAAGGATGAGAACTGATATAAAGTTGCCCACGTTTCACTTTCTAAGTAAGGTTATGGTAAAGTTAAAAAAAAAATAAAAAAGGACAGGGTAAAGTAAATATCTGCCATTTCCTGCCACACACACAAAAATGACATTTTGATATGAAGATATATAATCTCAGAATTTAAAAATTAATGTTAGGCTTTATAGAAAACTTCACAAAGGCAGTCTGCATAATCAGGGAATAGGCATTGAGGGATCCACTGGTTCACCTATATTTTTGTCCCAATCTGGTATTCTTAGATTTGTTGTTTCTTACTCAATTTTGCATTCCTGGCGCAGTGCCTGCTATCTAGTAGGAAATAGCCAATAAATATTGAGGAACAAGGCAATGAATTTTCCTTTGAGCAAATACCTCTGAGATCCATGGCAGGGGTCTACAGCACAGACCCCTGTGGGAGGACAAAGCAAAGGTGCAAGTGGGAGATGTGTGTGTGTGTGTGTGCGCGCATGCGTGTGTGTGTGTGTGCTTAAAGTGATATAATTTATTTCATGCGTTTGCCAGGCACTAGCCATTCAGGAGATTCTATATGAAGCTTTTAGTGAAACTGCCCTGCCAAGGAACAAGAGAGGAAGGGGGACAATAACTATATTACCAAGGCATAACCCTATAGGAACAGGCAGACTCTATTCCTAGGACACTGTTAAAACAATTCATGTGACATCTTAGGTAGAGTAAGAATTATAACAAATATAGTTACTGTAAATAAGTAACACTCATCTAAGATTCATGATATGCCAGGCTTCTGTTTTAAGTTCTTTGCACGTATTATGTCATTCAATCATTACAACAACCTGTTAAAAATGTGATTACTATTTCCATTATATAGATGAAGAATCAGGTTTGCGGTGGTTGAACAATTTTCTGGCAGTCATATAGTTAACCAATGGTAGAAATAGGTCTCAACTCTCATCTAAATGCCTTTAGAGCTTTACTGAAATGCTTGGGTCCCTTTAGAGCTACATATTTCTCTGATGAACAGTTTTTATAGGACTTGGTTTTCATTTTAAAAATAAGAAGAAAATTACAATGGTTCCTCTTAGCCAGGATTTTGTAGCTGGCAGGGCACACACAGTTTTTAAAAGCTGCGTGACTATAAGCAACTTATTTAACATCTTTGAACTTCAACTTCTCCACCTATAAAATAGGGATGACAGCCATTCTATCTGTGTTTGGGGAGAGTTAAATGAATAGTGTATGGAAAACAGCTAGCAAAGGGCCTGGATTATGAAGGGGATTTAATCAATTTTAATTCCATATGGGATCTAGTAAGATAAAATGACATTTTCAAATTAAAATCTTATCAAATATTACTGATAGAATGAAAGCAAATAGATCATTGCTCTGGTGAATAAAGGTGCCTATATTTATACAATTCTTTAGAGAGGCATGAGGATTATCTTTGCTGCAGCCCTCATTTTAATTAAGAGCATAGAGATTAGATGTTTCAGCATAGGAAGAAGTTTATATTTGATTTATACCCCAGATGCACATTTGCAGCATCTAAACATTCCATTCCTTGGCTAAAGATGTAACAAGCTACTTCAGCAAACCTGAAATTGCAAAATAAATGGAAAATGCTTAATCATTTAAAAAGAAATAGCAAAGGAATGAAAAGACCAAAGAAGGCCTGGGTACCGGTGAGGGAAGTTAAGCGGCAGAAAGCCTCCTCTATTTTTTTAAAGGCTGACAAATGGCTTCATTAGACAGGCAGGATATTAAACCAAAAGGGTTCATCTCTATCATTTTTACACATAAACACTTTCAGAAAAAGTGTGTATGTATTTATATGTAATCTCATTTCAGGTAAAAGTATTGTTCACTGAGAAAAGCAAGTTGCAGAACAATTTCTAAAATATGAACTTACTTTGTAAAAACAGTATCAAGCCCCATCTATAACTGATTGTGAGTTTGTTTGGGTTTGTATGAACATGCAGAAGGTATGAAAGGTTCACGCCAGGACGTTACACTGGGAACCTCAAGATGGCTGCCCTGGCAGGATCTGGGAAGAGGGTTTTGTTTCTTGAACATTATCTCATTACTTCACCAAATGCAAAGAGCATATATTACCTTGGAACAAAAACATTGAAAGATTAAAAAAAAAGTATATTTATTCTTATTTATTCCCATATTCATTTGTGGATTTATTCATTATCCAACATTTATTGAATTATTAATGGTGACAATTAAGTCAAGGAAGCTGGTCTGTTTTGTGGACTGTCACACATGACTTTTTCATAGGTGTGCTGACTAAACTTGGCTTTACTTCATGGCATTAGCAATATGGTTCTGGGCTCTATACTCAAATTCTGTCCTATTCCCTTTGGAATTAACAGGGTGTATTAAAATCAAACCATCTGTAGTTAATGTCACCCCTTTTCTTTCTACCTGTAGCTACTGTGCTGAAGGAAGGGTTGACTCACTTGCTAACTCCACTGAACTGTGAGTAGCCACTGGAGACAAAAACATGGTATTCGGAGCCAAAAGGCAAAGGTTTCAGTCCTGACTCCCCAGTAAAGAGAAATGTGGTACTGGTATGTTACTTCCTTACTTGAACCTCAGTACAACCTCCTCTCAAGTCAGCTATCTGACAAAATGGCCGTTGAACTCTAACGGCATCACGTGTGAAAGTCTTAATAAACTGCAAAGTGTGGAGTACATGTATAGTACCACTTCTTACAAAGAATTAGTGATTTTGATTCCTAATGATACATGTTTATAAGAATTCGCAGATTTCCACAGGAGACAAGATAATAATAATTTTCAGTGGTGCTCAGAAACTTGAGTTAGCCCCCAAAGCAATGGCTAACATGTTAGGCAAAGGCCGTGATCACAAGTCCAATTAACCAATAAGCATATCTGACCTGGTGTAATCGTCTTCAACAAGCATGTGCTTTGGAATCGGTGAGTACCTTCCTGGAGAGATGGGCGGCAGGGAAGTTTTATATTCTAAAGTTCCATTGTTGCCAGAGAGTAGATGGTTTTCCATCGGTGGAGAATAAGCTAAGGGGTGAAAAAGGGAAAAGAGAAGAAACCCGTTAGGTGGGTGATTCAATGTGTCATGCTAGGTTCTGTTAAAAATAGGAAGACTTTGCTACATGCTGAGGATTTTCTTGTCTCCCAAGAGGGTGGAGTTACTGTTTGTTTGCATTTAGTATGTACAAGCACATGGTGCTTGACCTTTAGGATTGGAAAGATGTAATAACATTTATATCTATAAACCCATTTTGTATAATTAGGTGAAGAGAAGAATTGGAGGAGAGAGCCAGAACATGCATTTTCAGGAGGATGATTAATTTTCTATTGAAATAAAAATGCTAGCTTTCTAATTACAGAGCTCACATTCTTTTCACATAATTAATATTCAATCATCAAATCTAGAAGGCTCCTGGAGCAAGTTCTTGTGTAAGACTTGAATCCTAAAATATGCTGTACTACCACCCCAGAAAGGCCCAGGACACGGGCCTTTCTTAGTTCTCTACAGTAATTCATCATCCTTTTGAATGTATGAAAGCCCCTCCTCCCTGCTCCACCCCTCTCTAGAAATCCATTTCATACACTGAGAAATCCAACTCTGATAGTGCTGTTCTCCTGCTTAAGTGTTCTCCATTGCTGCTACTGTACTGAATATAAACTTTTCCTTTTGTCATTCTTACAAGATTGATCCATTTTAATACCCTATATTCTAGAGTCCTCTTCCCAATGTTTGTGCTTTCATCAGTTACCTACAATTTCTGTCTCTCTTTTTTTTTTTTTTAGAGAGAGAGAGAGAGAGAGTAGAGAGAGAGAGAGAGAGAGGAGGAAGCAGGCTCCCTGCCAAGCAGAGAGCCCGATGTGGGACTCCATCCCAGAACTCTGAGATCATGACCTGAGCTGAAGGCAGAGGCTTAACCCACTGAGCCACCCAGGCGCCCATACAATTTCTGTCTCTTAACACATCTCTGATACTGAAATTTCATCGATTCTTTAAGATACAATTCAAACGGGGTGCCTGGTGGCTCAGTGGGTTAAAGCCTCTGCCTTCGGCTCAGGTCATGATCCCGGGGTCCTGGGATCGAGCCCCACATCGGGCTTTCTGCTCTGCGGGGAGCCTGCTTCCTCCTCTCTCTCTCTGCCTGCCTCTCTGCCTACTTGTGATCTCTGTCAAATAAATAAATAAAATCTTAAAAAAAAAAAGATACAATTCAAACGCCCCCCTTCCATAAAGAGTTTTATGATCATCCGAAGACAGGTAGTGTCCCTTTCCTTTGAATACCCAAAAGCATGTATGTTTTTATCTCCCATGGTATCCTTCTTACATTGCCAAATATTGCTGCTATTCATATATCTGAATTAGCCTTTCTTCCATGATTTCTTCCAAGGCCATGATTGCATTTCCTTTCTATCCTACCTATTACCTTATAAGGTGTCTTCTACATATTGAGGTTACTCAATATATATATTTTAAATTGAATAGCAAGCTTTGTTTTCTTGTTTTTATCTCTTTAACGTTGACCTTATACACCCTTCAGGAAGTAGCTTAGAGTCTCAAGACTGATTTTTCTAATTCATTCAGTTTGAAAAGTTAAAATTCTTTCATATCAGGTGAGGCTGATCTCAGCTTCCTGTATGCTTGAGAAAAAGACATATTTTGGGGGCAAGTAATTTCCCAATCATCATTAAGAAAAGCAATAGCTAACGTAATGAGCAGGTAACAAAATTATTCAACCTTTAAATTTCCCTCAACAGAAACAGCTAAGTCTGAGAGAGGCTAAATGCCTTGCTTAAGACCATAGTCCTAATTAGTGGCAGGTCCTGAAGCTATTCCGAGATCCCAATCTCACAACTGGTTTCTCAAAATTTCGGAATGAGCAAGCTTAGTGATGTTAACTATCCCTTAATCTCAGGTAGAAAAAAAAAAATTTTTCTTCTGAATCTAGTCCCCAAAGACAGAACCTTAGATCAAGTTCTTGCTGACCTACTAAGAAGAGAAGGAAATATGGGGCTTCTGTAGGAGTGGATTTTGCAGGACTCAACAAAGCAGCATCTCAGAGTTAGTTTTTGTCCTAGAAACCCCCACCTACAACTCATTTCTACTGCCATAGTGATTGAGAGCCCCCCCCCCACACCCCGCTGCTTTCTTGTCAATATAATATTCAGGTAAAGGGAAGAGCTATGGCGATGGTGATTGAAGATCATAATGTTTCCATCCAAGTGCAAGATCCTCTCCCCCAGGAGGGAGCACAGTGCTGTCTCTGGTCTTTTTGCTAGTCTTTCTCTTTCTTCATTGGCTACTATGTAGGTTTGAACTAGGAAAGGGGGATACTAAGGCATGAGAGCTATCATACTTTAGGGCCTTGAGAAATAGACTTTAAAAAGGTGTTGCTCTTACATTACTGTAATGACATTGTCCACTATATACCTCATTAAGCCTTTCTTAAATGGTGGACTTTCTAATCCATCAAGGTGTCCCACCAACAAAACACTAGTTAAGGCCTTGTAAGGCAATCAGGGAGTGAAGTACAGCATTCCTTGCAACTATTTCCACAAGCTAAACAAGAGCAAAGATGCAGAGTACTTTGCCAAGTTTTGCAGAATTCCAATTCTGTACCCCTGGTGCAGGGACACTGAGCGTGGCACTTACAGTGAGTAATATCAGGTGGCCCATAAGGATCAGTCATGTAAATGGTGGTGGGTTTGCCAACTTTTAGATAAACAACATCGGATGTGTTCTTCAGTATAGCTACTGCCTCTTCATGTGTCACTTCTTCTAAACTGTAGTTGTTTACCTAAAAGGAAAATAATACTCAATATTAGAGTCAAATGTAGGCAGGTGAAAAGAAACAGGCAAAAGCATATACAGGATTATTTAAACATTAAATAGCAATGATTACAATCCAGGATCTACATCATACTCAGACAGAAAGATGGATTTATGGCATTAGCCAAAGCAGATAAGGTACCATTGTTGATGCTACAAAAATAAAAAAAAAAACCAACAACAAAAAAAAAAAACAAGAAACAAGACAAAACAAAAAAACCAAAGTTGCTTCTGTTTTTTTCTATGAGAAAGCAATATATCATAATGCAAATCAGGATACTATTTGTGGATAAAAGAAAGGAGGGGTCAAATGTCTCTTTTCCTATGCTATGGTTTTTCCAATTACAAAGGTAATGCATACTCACGGAACTAAAAAAAAAAAAAAAAAAAAAGGAGAAGAAGAAGAAGAAAAACTAACCAGTCTTTCTATTTGGGATATATTTTTAAAATATCAGTGACCATATTATACATATTGTTTTGGAAACTGCTTTTTAAATCTAGAGTGACTATTGGTCCATATCATAGCATATGGCAACAACGTGACTTTGTTTCCCAGAGAGCATTGTGTTGCATGGTTGTAACCTAATGCTTTAACCAATCTGTAACTAAAGCATGTTTAGTTTGCTTCTCATTTTTTTCTACTATGAATAATGTTGCAGTAAACTTTTTTTTTCTATATTTGTACACAACTTTGGTGATTTATTTGGGATAAATCATACAGTGGAATTGTTGTACCGAACTATATGAATATTACAAGCCTTCTGATACCTATTGTTAAAGTGTCCTGTGGAAAGAGTTTACTCTTATACCACCACTATACGAGAGCCCCAATTTTCCTACAGTTACACCAAATTTGTTTTTTTTTTTTTCATTTTAAAAATTGTTCCCATCTGTGGGGCTGGGTGGCTCAGTTGGTTAACCCTTGACTCTTCGTTTTGGCTTAGGTCATGATCTCAGGGTCATGATTGAGCCCCATGTTGGGCTCCATGGTGAGCATGGAACCCGTTTAAGAGCCTCTCTCTCACTATTGCATGCTCTCTTTCTCCTCCGCAGCCCCACCAAAATAAATAAATAAATAAATAAATAAATAAATAAATAAAAACTATCCCAGCAAAATGTTATTTAACAAGTCGACTTTCTAAGGCTAATATTAGTAAACAGGGCTTGGCAGGTGAACAAGTTCAAGGGTACTCTATTCCCATCCACTTCAATAGCAACTCCTCCTTTTTACTGGACAGAAGAGCCTGATGAAAGTGCAATTTTACTTCATGGCAGTGACATTATAGTGGAATCTCTCCAGCACTTCTCTTAGATGGTTTTAAAACATTTATGATGTGTTTTAAATACCTACATTATTCTTATTTGGCTACTATTATTTTAATGGAGTTATTCTTTAGTTAATTTCTGCTGAAATGATGCATAATTAAAGTAAACATGCCAAAGAGCACTAGATTGGATCCTGTACATATTCTTTGTACTATTTAATCAGCACTTTAGTCATAGAAGACCTTGCAACATTGCTTCCCCCCCCCTTTTGCCTACGTTCTATAAATTCTATGTGCCAATTAATCCTTGATGGTGTAGCTGAAGTTAGGGACCCTGGAACTGGAGGGGTATGTATGTATATGAATGCTGACCAAGAACTCCCCATTAAGATATCAACTTTTCCACTGGCTCCTATAGTTCTCTTCTGAACAAGTGACATTCTCTTATATCCTTTTGTATTTCCAGCACCTAGCACTTATTCATCCATTGGTCAATGCATTGCTACCATGTGTCAGTCATGGTTTTACACATTAGAGAGATGTAATAAATAGGACGAAAATCATAATCATAGCCAAAACTTACAGAGCCTATATTACACTCTGGGAACTATTATAAGTCATTTACATATATAAACACAATTGAACCTCACAACAATTTGTATGGTAACTATTACAGTTACTTTCATTTTACAGATTAGAAGAGCATGTCTCCAAGAGGTTAAGAAACCTGCTCAAAGTCATTGATCTAATAGTGGTAGAAGCCGATTAAAAGCAAGCAGTTTGGATCCAGACACCAGGCTTGTAACCATTCATCTATATTCCTTTTTCAGATAGACAGAGAAGGTCCCCAGCTCCCTTGAATCTCATATTCTAGTAAGATACACTTCAAGTTTCAAGCACTGAAACTGAAACCTACTGAGAAGGACTTTACATACAGATTCTCAAGTACCACCAGAGAACTCCTCAGACCGGAAAGAAGTTGAGCAAAGGGTAGAGGTGAGAAGTGGGGATAATGGTGGTTTATAATAGTAGTACTTCAGTTGGTTTTTATTTGGTGACTACAAAGCGTTGGAACACTAACACGGATTTTAGTTATAGAACAGGTGGCATGATATTGGCAACAGAACATAGTGATTAAGAGCACATGCTTCTGAATCACACAGACCAGGATCTGAGTCCTGGTCCTGGCTCTTTCTAGGTGTGTAACTTTGGACCAACTTACTTAATCTTTTTAGCCTCAGTTTAGACATCTGTAAAATAGGTATGATGATAATTGCTACCTCAAAGGGTTATTGATGTAAATGTATTAGTCTATGTAAAGTGGCAGGAATATTAAAATTCTTATTAATGTTAGCTTTTATTACTATTACTATTGTCATCATACATCTCTCTTCTCAGGAAACAGGAATGCTTGGTAAAAATTTTTGCTGAGCATTTTCCTGTAAACATCTGTGAACTGATGAGTTTAATTAGGGTACTGTTGATGAGGCTTCTGTGTGGTCTTTTTAAAAATTCAGAATAGTACAGGATCTGGACCAAAAAGTGCTCTTTTGTGCTGAAGTCTTCAAAATGTTTTTCATGAAAGTGGGTTTATTTGGGTTAATTATGTGTGTGCATTATCCTATGAACTCTCAAGATAAAGGGCCTACAGCTGGAGCTGATTGTACACAGAGAGAAGGGACATTACACTGATTGGCTAGTTGCTCTTGTCATTGTTTTTTATTGTCTTTTTTCTTTTGCATCAAGTATCTGCCTATAATGGTGAACACTGAACAACTGGCCTGATTTCAGAAAAAAAATTATGTGCATCTGAATGCAGTGTTTCTGTGGGCACACTACACAGAGTGGGGCATGTGTGCAGCCTGGCCATATGTTTGCAATAGGATGAAGGACTGAGGCCAAGCAGAGAGGTTAGAGATGAGAGGATGCATTTTCTCCAACAGAAAAGGGAGCACTGAATTTGAGCACGATGCAGAGACAAAGGAGGGCAAACTAGCTGAAGAAAGAGGTGCCAAAAATCCTGCAAGAAGAGCAGGGTCAGTGTTGTGGGAATCAAATTGAGTGCAAGCAAACAGGTATGTGATGGGACAAAGGTGGGAGGTGTGGCAGCAGGAGAATGATAATAAAGAGGAATGGGTGATGTACAGATGGTGAGATGCTGACCTTTCTGTATTTATTCAGGAATACCAACACGGTGGCACAAACTAAGAGGTGGACATAAATATTACCTGAGACATAGTACAAGGAAATGGGGGAACTCTAGAAACACTAAAAAAAAAAAAAAAAAAAAAAAAATCACGAACTCCAAAGTTAACTTCTAAGGAGACAAAGTTGTTGATCACTAGATGAGATGAATTAAAAAGGAGCACTAAGTAATGGATAGAATTGCTGAATCACTGTATTATACCTCTAAAACTAATATAACATTAGTTATATTATATAACATACATAACATACATATAACATTGTATGTTAACTACAATGGAAATATAATTTTAAAAACCTAATAAAATTTTAAAAAATTAATAAATACAAGTAAAAAAGTTGACAAATCTAATGTGCTAATGTCAATGATATGAAAATGAATATGCATAAGCCAAAGACTAAAATCTCTTCAGTACACTGCAATTCATGGATATAAAAAATTTTATTTTAAAAACAGTAACCACAAATAAATAGGGAACAATAATAGTTATCTCTGGATAATAAATATCTTCTTATTTTTCACCTTTTCAGCAATGATCATGCACTATAGTTAGAATGAAATTAATTCTATATTTTAAATGAAAAAGAAAAAAAAACTTCAAATAAGAACAGAAACAAAGTGGGGAGCCTGGGCACAGTCAGTTAAGTGCCTGACTCTTGGTTTCAGTTCAGGTTGTCATCTCCGTCATGAGCTAAGGGCTGTGAGATCAAGCCCCACGTCAGGCTCCATGTTCAGCATGGAGTTTGCTTAAGACACTCTCCTTCTGCCTTTCCCCTCTCTCAAATAAACAGCTAAATCGTTAAAAAAAAAGAAAGAAAGAAAGAAAGAAAGAAAGAAACAAGATAACCCTAGAACCAAAGTGCAGTGGCTTCATTATGAAACACACATAGCAAGATCTCAGGAGTGATGGAAAATTGGAATGGAGAAGAAGGAACTTGGTTTCTAATGGCTAGTAAACTGATTTAATTTTTTAGAAAAAACTGCCATTATTTTAAGCCTAGATGTTTCTAGAAATGAAGGTAACTTGGCATAATGAGAGTAAATTTTAAATGTAACACCACATCTGTTTTCAATTCCTATATTCATGAATTTTGTTCAGTTAACATATTTACTGAGCATTAAAAATTCCTTATATGCAAAATAGGGATGATACTAATTTATTTGTTGATTTATTTGTGTTTAGGAGAAAGGAGGGATACCACAAACATGAAAAGACATTGTATAAGATAGAGCAGTATACAAAGAGTCATCAAACTTCACAATCATACACAATGTTTCTGCTGATTCTGTTGCTGAAACTAGCTCCTTGTGTGAAAATGATCACCCCCTACCTTCTACAACAGTTAATCTTGCAATGTCTCTTTCCTGTTCAAGGACTGATTTTCTAAAGGGCAATAATTAGATTGTCCCCCCCCCCCTTTTTTTTGGACATTGGAGTATAGCTGACACACAATGTTACATTATTTTCAGGTGTATAACACAGTGATTCAACAAGTT